AGAGCGGTTGCCAAGCGCACTATCAAAGAGGCCAAGATCTTATCTTGGAAACGATATGTCAGCACTCTTAATCGTTTTACTCCAATCGGCGAAGTATGGTCGCGCATAAAGCGCATCTCGGGCCGGCACTCCTCTGTACCCTTACCCGTGCTGAAGGTGGATGGAAGGGACATCATGGAGCCAAACGCCGTTGCTTCGGAGATAGGCCGCGCCCTCTATCGGCGGTGTGGTGATGAGTCCCTCGACGAATCCTTTGTCAGGCACCGCTCGTCTTGTGAAGCTTCTGGGGTCAATTTTAGCACCTCCGACGTTTTGAGCTACAACGATACTTTTACAATGGTTGAGCTCAAGTCAGCTATAAGCTGTCTTAAATGTGTCGCAGAAGGCCCGGATTCTGTCCACAATGAGATGCTTCGCCATCTCCCTCCGGTTGCTCTGGATGCTCTCCTTCAGCTGTTCAACCTCCTATGGCTGACGGGTGTTTACCCAAACTCCTGGCGGGAGGCAGTTGTCATCCCTGTTCTGAAAGCAGGGAAGAGCGGTTTGGACCCTCTGCACTACCGCCCAATTGCGCTCACATCCGCCGTTGGAAAGCTGTTGGAAAAGCTGGTGAATATCCGACTTACCTGGCATCTGGAGCGGCACGGACTTCTTGCGAATTCTCAGTGTGGTTTTAGAAAGCACCGGAGTACTGTCGACCACGTTCTTACTCTTGACTCAGTTGTCCGCTCGAATTTTAAACAAGGTCGTCAAGTAGGCGCCTTGTTCTTCGACATTGAAGCAGCGTATGATACCACATGGCGATTCGGTATCTTACAGAAGCTGCATAAGCTAGGCATTCGAGGCACGATGGGTCATTTTCTAAGCAGTTTTCTTGGTGATCGTTTCTTCCGTGTTCGTGTGGGCAACCAGTTATCTGAGCGGTTCGCCCAGATTAATGGAGTCCCACAAGGCGGTGTGCTCAGCGTGACGCTTTTTGGTGTCATGATCAACGACATTGAAAAGGTCCTCTCTCCAGCCATCGGCCGCGCTCTTTACGTCGATGATTTCGCTATTTGGTGCAGTGCGGCGTCGACTCGATCAATGGAGCGACAGCTGCAGATGGCAGTTGCTCGAGTGGAGGCATGGGGCAAGGAGAACGGCTTCCGGTTCTCCTCTGCAAAGACGGTAGGCATGCAGTTTTCCCGTAAGCGTCGCCCCACTGCACCCATGGTGGTGAGGCTCTACCGTGAAGCCATACCAGTGGTTGCGGAGGCCAAGTTCCTTGGCATGACTCTTGACTGCCGACTCACATACCGAAGTCACATAAAGTGTCTACGTGACAGATGTCTTAAAGCTCTTGACATTCTGAAGTGTGTCGCTCGCATGTCCTACGGCGCTGACCGTAGTACGCTACTCCTTCTTTATCGGTCTCTGGTGCGGTCCCGTCTGGACTATGGATCTTTTATCTATGACAACGCTGCATCCTCATCCAAGCTTATCCTTGACACTGTCCACCACGCAGCGATTCGCATTGCGACTGGTGCTTTCCGAACTACTCCTGTCGTCAGCTTGTTAGCTGAGGCGAACGAGCCCCCTCTGGCCTTACGAAGGCAGATGTTGGGCATGCGATACGCCATCAAACTTCGTCAGTTCCCTTCCCATCCTGCTCACGGACCGGCTTTCTCCAGGTCGCTCTTAGCAGTCTTTGATGGCGACGAGAGGAGCCGCTCTCGAGTTTTCTGCACCCGAACGGCCGATCTCCTGCGAGATTGTGGCCTAAGCACTCGGGACATCATGCGAGTTGTTATCCTGCCTGAACCGCCTTGGAGGTTATCTGTCCCCTCTGTGGACCTAACCCTATCAGGCACACGGAAAGACCAAATTCTGCCTCTGGCCTTCAAGGCGAAGGCATTGGAACATATTGCATCATATTCAGGCCATGCCGTGGCATACACCGATGGGTCCAAGTCGGACCTCGGTGCTGGCTGTGCCTTCGTCTGCGGCGACGCTGTGCGATGTTTTACTTTATCTAAACATGCATCCGTTTTTACCTGCGAATTGGTCGCCGTCCTCAAACTTTTATGTTTTATCCAGATTCATCCCGCTCGGTCATATCTTGTCCTCTCCGACTCATTGAGCGGACTCCAGTCCTTGACACAATTCTATCCACTTGACCCCCTCGTACAGGAGATTCTTCTCCGTTTGACGGCTCTCGACCGAGAGGGTACCTCAGTGACTTTTTGCTGGATTCCTAGCCATGTTGGTATAGCTGGCAATGAGCGGGCGGACCGTGCTGCGAACCATGCGGCGCGGCAGCCCTGCTCCCGCCGGTTCCCTCTACCGGCCAGGGACTTTTTCCCTGCGGTGAGCTCATTCTTCCGCGGAAAGTGGCAGGAGGCTTGGAGCAAATGTCAGACAAACAAGCTGCTACGCATCAAACCGGGTTTGGCAACCTGGTTGTCTGCGTCACGCAAGTCGCGTCGAGAGGAGGTCATCTTTTGTCGGCTTCGCACAGGACACACTTTCGGTACCCATGGACACCTTATTGGCGTCGGCCCAAGACCTGTTTGTGCGAGATGTGGCGACAGACTTTCCGTCCGACACGTTTTTCTGGAGTGTCCAAGACTGGAAGCTGAGCGGCTGAAGTTTCTGGGCCTGCGCGGAGCCCAACTTTCTTTGAGAGCAGTCTTAGGTGACGAGTCCTCTTTGCTTGACTCTTCTCGCCTCTTTTCGTTTATTGCGGCCTCCGGCCTTCAGGTGATTTTTAACGCCCGACACTGAGGAAGCCAAATAAGAAATGGGCGCGATATAGCCTCGCAGCTGGTGCGCCCTGTCACTCCAAATCATCATCATCATGATTAGGGTGCATCAAAATACACTTTCTTCGCATCGACCGGTCTGTGCGATAGAATTGTATAGAGTTAGATTGTATAGAGTTGTATTGAATACAGTTAAATTGAGTAGAGTTGAATGGAGTTAGAATTGAATAGAGTTACTTATAGAGTTCATTTTATTAACTTAACTAAGCACTGCTTAGTGTCAAGGTCAGGTCAAAGAGGTATGGTAAATTTAAAGTTATAATATAGGTCATGCGGGACATGTTTTCCTGTCCGTTTTGGTCATAGAATCCAATGGCAGCATCGATCGTGTCGTTTGAGATCCATTTTAGCAAGTTTCAGTGAAGGTCAGACCAAGGTCAGGTCAAGTCAAAAAAGGTCAAAATTTTAAGTTCAATACTTGCAAAGAAAAAGATGTCTGTTAGGTGAAATTTAAGCTCAGGAATAGGTATGATTGTGCCATTTGTTTTTTTTTCGTGCACCGACTAGAACGCCCAAAAATGGCATTTGAAATAATGACGTCATTGAGCATCATAATGGGATGACAAATGTTGATTGTGGGGTCAAATTTTGAGACTGATATAGCCATCTTGTAGAGCTTATCATTTTACTTATTTGGGAGCTTTCATTTGCATTTGCATTGCAAGATATGCCTTGGACGTCATTGCGAAGTTTGACCACTTTACGGCCGAAACTGCCATGTAGTGACGTCACAAAATCGGCCATAATTCAAAACATTTCCGTTACGCGCCGCGCGCGGACACTGGGCCGGCTGGAGCACACTAGCGCCGCCTATCGGTAAATTACGGCTACGGTACGCAACTACCGAACCATTTGTTACATTTAGGCGGAAATTGCACAAACTGGACCAAAACTTGAAGATGCACCACCAGGGCAAAAGACTACAAGGAATTGCGCGTTTGTTGATGCCTCATTCGACTATTTTGATGCATTTTTAGATGCGTCATTTTCGACCTCAAAAATGCGCATTTTGTAAAAAATCATGCAATCTGATCTGGCATTTGTATGCATATAACAGATTAGCAGTGTCCAAACTTGAAAATGCACCACCAGTACTGATGACTTCAATGAACTGCGCGTTTGTTGATGCCTCATTCAACTATTTTGATGCATTTTTAGATGCGTCATTTTCGATCTCAACAATTTGACAAGTCGTAAAAAGCATGCAATCTAACATTTATATGCCAATAACATACTAACAGTACTCAAACTTGAAAATGCACCACCAGTGCAGATAACTACAATGAATTGCGCGTTTGTTGATGCCTCATTCAACTATTTTGATGCATTTTTTGATGCGTCATTTTCGACCTAAAAATGCGCACTGTGTAAAAAAAAATCATGCATTCTGACATTTGTATGCAAATAACAGATTAGCAGTGCCCAAACTTGAAAATGCACCACCAATGCTGAATACTACAAGGCATCGCGCGTTTTTTATGCCTAGTTCACCTATTTTGATGCGTTTTTAGATGCGTCATTTTCGACCTCAACAATTTGACAAGTCGTAAAAATCATGCAATCTGACAATTATATGCAAATAACATGCTAACAGTACACAAACATGAAAATGCACCACCAGCACAGATGACTACAATGAATTGCGCGTTTGTTGATGCCTCATTCAACTATTTTGATGCGTCATTTTCGACCTCGAAAATGCGCATTTTGTAAAAAAAATCATGAAATCTGGCATTTGCATGAGAATAACAGAATAGCAGTACCAGAATATGAAAATGCACTTCCAGTGCAAAGAACTACAAGGAACTGTGCATATGATGATACCTTATTAACATACCTTGATGCATTTATAGATGCTTATTTTTCGGCCTCAACAGCCAACATGTGCATCACCTTATATGTGCGATATGGCTGTTACATTAAAGTAGCTGCTTAGGTACTTTACTCAGAGTCTGGGGGGGGGGGGGGGGAGGGATGCAGCATCTGTGCGGAATTATGGAAGGAATCTGGGTACACAGCAGCATTTTGTTTACTTATTTTTCTGCTTATTTACGCTATTTTCCACTTAGGCATTGGCAAAAAATCCGTACGATTTTCATTTGCACTGAAATAAACACCGAGTAAAATGTTATATGCAGGAAACTAACTAAATAAGCAAAAATAAATTTCATTAAAAAGAATGAGGACTTGTAATTTGCATCAATCACTAGTGACTACCTACGTTTCAGTAATATTTTCTGCGTAAGTTTTAAGTGAAAATCACTTGAACCAACCATATAGCTTTCCGTTCTCCACAAATGGAAACAAAGGTAGCTTGGGATGAACACATGAAAGTACATTCCTGTATTTCCTGTGCACACGATCTAGCCACTACACATTTTCCACAGACCGCAGCAGCATCCTTCCTTCCCGCTTGATCACCTGCTCGATCCCGCCTTTAAAATTGCTAACACTGATGTACGCGGAAGTAACACTGTGGTTCAGTTTCTCCACCCGTTGCTGCGTAAACACGTTCAGACATCCAACGCGAGCGACAACCTCGTGACAGTGTACTCCCACCATATGAAGGTAGGGAGTCACCATGGTGGTCTGGAACACGGTAACGAACATCTTCAAAAAAGCATCACACTCCGCGCGAACAATTTCTGAGTCGTCACTGTGGTGAAGCACATCAAGCATTTTACAGTACTTCACTAGGAGGAGTTTGATGGACGCACCTCTCTTTCGTCCTAGGTACACGAGTAGACAGTCGGAATCGATCATGTGACGGATGATTTTGCGACGGTCATTCGCATCACAGTGCTGAAACTCAACCTTTCCATCGCTAGCGACAATTTTTCCTCGGCATGTGATCTGCTCCTGAAGGTTTTTCACAAAATCAGTCGCTTTGTCACATGGAACCTCGCGGCGAATGATAAGTAAAATCTTGTCAGACGTACGAAGGAAAAGATGTAAAATGTCAATAACTATCCTGTCTATTGGGATGGCGGGGAGAAGCCAGCCACGAGCCATTCCCGGATCTCTGGCATTGAAACCCTTCCTCGGCTTGGCGCCTGATCTACAGTAGTCGGACTTGTGGGACAAACAATATACATGCGTTGTGACTGTTTGCGTCCTTCATTCCACAAACAGTTGACAGGAATTTATAGTCTGCACATAAGAAGAAGGTAAACCGTACTCTAACGTTCCGTCGATAACGATACCGTCTTTTTGAATTTGATCTATTTCACGATTTAGTCCCCCGAAGACGCTATCAAGATTTTCCCAGTTTTCTTTGGCGGTACTTATGCCTAAAAGCTGTGGTCTTCTTTTTGATGCAGTCTCTTCGTCTGGCAGGCTGATGGATAAGTTGACAAAGCTCCGGTACTTTCCAACTGGAGCCCCGTTGCCTACGGAGGAAAAACAATATTCAATATTCATATTACATACTCGTGTGCAATAGTTTAATGCATGACATTAGTAACGAAAGGCGAGATTCAGTCATCACCTCGTAAAATACTTTCTTTTCGCCCTAAAAAACATTACAGTTTCTAGTAAAGTATTCTTAAGATATTTTAAAACTGCGTTAATAAAGCGATGAAAGCGTTAATAAAGTGATAAATGCGTTAATAAAGCGCTTAATAGTTAATACCTGATAGTTTGATGCGGACGCTCTCGTTTGGTCCTTTTTTGACGGCTGGTTGCATTGCCTTCAGAAGGTCAGATATGTTCCGCCGGGCTCCATTTCTCATGGGCAGAATGTCGATTTCAGTGTTCAACCTGCAATATCAACCATGTAAATTAGGCAACCAAATTTATGTCTGGCACAGCCCTGAAAAAAGCGGCTTCATGATTGAAATGCTCCTAATTCAGGATTAAAATTTATCAAGCAGTAACATATTGCCGTAGGGAAAAAACCCAAGCAGGCAAATACTTTTAAATATAGCATAGCAATGAGTCAATTGGAATTACTTCCACAATTATACAATATTTGACAAATATTATGCCAATAGAAATGTAGTGTTACATATTACAATAGCTACATATCACAGAAGTGTTACATATTACAGTCACACATTACATAGTGTTACATCCAATACGCACCTACTCCGTTCCTTCTGGACCTTGTGAGGACGTGGCAGAGTCGGTGACACGCTGGCGAGTTTTTTTTTTTATACTTCCGCATGGAGATGCAGGTATTGTCCAGTACCGCAGCTATGGCGCTACTCGACGGTGATTGCGATTCAGGTGCGAAACACACGCTTACACCATATTCCGCTGCCTTCTCCCTGATGTCTTTTGTCACTCGCCGCTTTGTACGTGCACAGTACTCTGTTGGTCCTTTCTTACGCTTCGAGGCCAGCAGTCGCCGAAGCTTTCCATTTTCACACTGAAGTCGACGCAACTCAGCTTGAATTCGGTTTACCGTATCGCCTGCACTGCTGGCGCCGGACGACGGACCTGCCGGGCGGTCTTCAGCGCCGCCTCTGGGTCTGGGCGCGCCGGACGACGGACCTGCCGGGCGGTCTTCAGCGGCGACTCTGGGTCTGGGTGCGCCGGACGACGGACCTGCCGGGCGGTCTTCAGCGCCGCCTCTGGGTCTGGGCGCGCCGGACGACGGACCTGCCGGGCGGTCTTCAGCGGCGACTCTGGGTCTGGGTGCGCCGGACGACGGACCTGCCGGGCGGTCTTCAGCGCCGCCTCTGGGTCTGGGCGCGCCGGACGACGGACCTGCCCGGCGGTCTTCAGCGCCGCCTCCGTGGCTGGGCGCGCCGGACGACGGACCTACCGGGCGGTTCCCAGCGCTGCCCTCCCGGCTGTTGCTGCCCGCAGAGGTACCAGGTCTGGGCGCGCCCGAGGGACAAGGCGGGCAGTCATCGTACTTGAAGAGGAGACACTCGGGATGATTTGGCCATGGTGTAGTTGGTAAGGTGCTCGGGCTATTGATATTTACATTTAGATGTAGGAAATTTGTACACTGAGCGTCTACCCACTGCGCACGTTGTCGTCCACCACGACGGCTTTTTAGGTAAGCAGTTTGTAGCTTCAGCAATTTTTTTCGGAATGCCTCTGATTCTCGGCGAGAGATATGTACACTTGCACTATGTTCTAACAAAAGATATGCAAAGATGTAATCTAATGTCACCTGGTGGTCAAACTTCAATTTAACTGCTTCCTTAACAAGCCACTTTTTACATATATAGGGTAGCCTGGGGCAAGACGCCCCAGATAATTTATTTTGCTACATAAATTTTGTCCCACATCACCTGGAAGGCCAAATTTGTGCTCAATGCGTTCTTTGGACATTTTACTTTAAATTGCACCCCTCAAATTCATTCACTTATGATCGGACTCCAAGCTAGGAAGTGATTTGTGAAGCAACTGCAAATGGGGCATTTTGCCCCAACCCCAGGGCAAAACGCCCCACGGCCTGGGGCAAGTAGCCCCATACTTTAGATTACAGATTTAACATGGTAGTATGCTTAATCTTATGTGAGAGGTCCCTTAGACCTCTGAAAGCACGGCTCTTAAGTTAGCACATTCCATCCTGTCAGGTGTTCAGCTATGACACTATTGTATGAGCAGGTTTTTCACCTGCCTCATAAGACCAAATAATAAATTATTGCAATGCAAATGTTTACAGAATACTTCCTTTGCCATCCAGTTGCTGAGAAAAATACACATAAAGGCATAGAAACTTACTGTTCGCCAGCTACCGAACATTAGAAAGTGGGTAGCCCGAACAACACATGAGGTAAAACGCCCCATGGGGCTTTTTGCCCCACGACCTACTGGGGCGTTTTACCCCATCACGTAGTTCGGTCAGAGAACAACGCTTTGCACACCAGCAAGACATAATTTAACACGAACCAACCCGGCATAAGCGTTAGACAATAGTTGTTCAAAATACATAAAAGTCGTTAACCTGATGTGGACCATAAAAGAACGCCATGATGCATAATCTGACAACAAAACATAAAAATCACTCAAAAAACACATTTTTGGCTATATCTCTTGAAAGAGTCATCACAATTTCTTTCCAGTCTGCTCATATAATGATCATATAGTGCACGTTTTATAGAAGAGAGGATGTTTCCCCAGAACTCTGCCAGTTCCGAGAAACATCGGTGAGGCGTTTTACCTCGGCGGGGCGACTTGCCCCGGTCTACCCTACAAAAGGTTTATCTGGGCTGATGGCGGACGTTCATCTTGCATGCACCAAAACGCTGCTGGTGCAATCTATTTTCCTGCTTCAACTCAGTAGTACCGCCAAACTAATATTTACAAAATGAGGACACTACATCTTACCCGGAATGTTTAGCGCTACATGAGGCCTGCACGCCTCTCTCGCATGATCCTCACCACTAGTTCTTTCCCATGGCGGTGGCGCACCTTCTGTATCTGGCCGTCACTGCCCTTCACAAAGGCCCAGTCTCCTCTAATGTTCCTCACTGTCATGGAGCTGGCAGCCACAACATTGGCATCTCCATGCACGCTGATCAAGCGCACCCTCCACTCTGGATCATATGAAGTAGCGAAGACTTTCATAAAACTGTCTAATGACATGCCCTGGTATTGACATCTGGGAGCATCGTTGCTCCACTGAGAGCTGCTGACATAAGTAACCTGGAATTATTTCAATCTTCTAGTATAAAGGCAGCCATTGGGCTCCCTGTGTATGCCCATCATTCTGCCCTAATGTCAGCGCTTGGCATTCCTAAGGTTCAAGAGCTTCTCCGATCGCTTACGCTTCGCGGCTTTGCTCATCTGTTTCGCTCGGATCATAGGCTTAAGCAGATAATGATTCGCAGCCTTGCTGTTCTAGCTACTACGCCTTCAGAGTTAGACGGATCATTCTTGAGCTTTACACATAGCCTCGGAAATAATAATTTTGAAGTTACAATGAACATAGCATGTGGCAATGTTGATGGTGAGCTTATTCGTGGCTCTTGTATGAATGATGGAATTGTGGACACAATCAAATTCCTGCTCAACAGCACTTGCTCTCATTCGCGTAAAATTCTTAGGCTCATAACAGTCACAAATGAAAGCACCAGGCACACAACTTGAACTAAAGTATAGGTACTATCGATGGTTTTAGAATGTCCAATGATTGGCTCTTGTGAATGTCCTTGCGTGGCCTAGCATTGTCCTGCAGGCATTAATGTATGTACCTACCTGGCCCAATGTATATGTACTGCTACGTGTTATAACTGTCACCTCACCTTGTCACCTCACATTGTGTGTGTGATGCAAATAAATGTGATGATGATGATGATGATGATAGTGAAGCATCTGACGACGGGATTTTGACACGGATGATTTTTGCAGATTTTTCTCGGACAGGAAATCTAAGAGCTTTGAAGATGAGGCTTTGGATGGTGTCAGCCACAAGCTGGGTAGCACGATTTGGGCACCGGTGAGGCAATGCCTGGCCATAAAAGCGTTGAGCTGAGACCGGATTCATCTGTAAATTAAAAATCAAGTTAGTAAATGTTCAAGTTAACAGTTTTATGAGACTTTTCAGTTCAACGTGATATGAAATTGATGTTCCATTATTAAAAAAAAAATCTTTCATGAAACTAGATGAAGGAATTTTGGCTGGTAACTCATATACACTTCTACTGAATTACAGCGAAATATTTTGTAAGTTGGTATATAATACATTTTCAATATTAGCAGAAATTTACAAGACACAATCCAAGATTTGCTACCTATTTTTTTTAAAGAACCATTTATGGTACTTCTGAAACCATTAAGCTCAGAAGCTACATATTTACAGCAGCACTACATTTCTACATTTATCAATATCTGAATGCAGAAATGATTATCATATTCATGTTCAGTCCAAAAGTGATGTTTATTTTCCATTTGTTTTGATCATATTTTGTCTATATTTTAGAGTGAGGTGATATGTGCTCATGTTCAGCATGTATTTGTTAGAACAAATCAGCTTCATATTATTTTATGACAGGAATGAATCCCAAACTTGTGTTCAGCATGGCTTTTCTAGAAGAAATGCATGATGCTTTATGGCAAAACTGTACTTGGTACTTGGTAGATAAGAAACCTTTACCATATGCTCATTTTACAAAAAAAAAAACAGCATACACATCTGATTCAGAAAGTTAAATTTCACCTTCCATGCAGACTTTTAACAAATTCTTTTTTAACAAAAAAAAAACACATTAACCAAACCAATTACATAAACGAACATTCACCAACTTTTACAAATCTTGACAGTTTTTTTATTTACTCATAACCTCTAACAGGACATTGAACATAAATCTTGTTCTTTTTAGAGTACCTAATTTGACATGAGGGTCCAAATCTTATGGTCATTTTTGTTGCCAATGAGCTTGAGTTTTGAATGAACATTGTGTTATACTGCAAGAGCTTTGGTTGTTTTGATACCTACCTAAAGAGATTCCCGACGAAATACTTATGGAATGCAGGCAGTCAAACAAAACATAAACTTGTAAGCCGAATCTCAGTAACAGATGAATATTGTTTCAACCAAAAACTATCATGACAATTTGGTTAGGTACCTAAATTGGGCCAAGAGCCGTCCACTAAAGCAAGCCTAGCCAACCAAAACAAATTGTCAAGACAGCTTGGTCAGCAAAAAACAATCACCTGTACAACAAAACCAGGATTAATGGGGCTGAAGGCCCCTGGGTGTTGGGAGCCACAATGTTAGGCTAGGTTAGGCTTGGATATGTTACGTTATTTCAAGTTACGTTAGGTTAGGCTACACTAGCATAGGTGGAGTTTTGTAAATGAGTTAGTAAAACATGGAAGTCTATTTATGATCAAATTAGGTGGCTGAACAGGAGTGGGTTGGACAGTTAAAAGGAACAGTAAAACCATTGACTGGGGTGGGGGGTGATGAAAGGTGGTGGAGCAAAAATAAATGTTGGTGTAGCAAATACCAATATTGGTGGGGCGGCTATCCAACCAACTGTATACGAAACCCTGTCCCTGTACATTAGGTTAGGTCGTTAGTTTAAAAAAAAAACTAACAAAGAAATTATCAAATTTAGAACAAGCACTCCAAAATCCTGCAAGCAACAGCAACAAGAACCTGTCACCAACCCTCTTGTTCCTAATAACACCCAATCCTAATACACACATTGGCAAAATAAATGACTATAAGGTAATCAGACTCAAAAACAGTATGTCAAATTAGTTTGCTTAGAAGCTCCAAAAAATGTTTAAAATCCTGCTAAGGTTTAACTAAATAGGTAGGTAGATCAGTGGCTGCGGATTGGCCTCAGAGTTGGGGGGGGGGGGGGGGCAAAGCTGGTTTTCAAGTCCATTCTTTCCATGCAACGCCCATAGGCCTTATGTTAAATTTTGCCAGACGTGGGGGGGGGGGGGCAACTGCCCCCCCTGCCCCCCGAATCCGCCGCCACTGAGGTAGATACCTCTCTAGCTGACATATCATTGCCTTGCCTACATAGGTAGGTAATGCTTACCTTTCAGTCATCTTGATATTTCAGTCTTAGCACGGTTGATCTTCCAAGGAAAAGGCGTGAAAGTAACCAGGCAGACATGTACTGACAATTTATCCAAAGAATATATTATTTTAAAGCAACAACCTAACCCAACAGTAGATGTGTTGTGATCAAGGCCCTAGAATACGTTGTGTTAGCCTTGTACGCATTATTGGTGAAAAGCGGGAAATTAAAAGGTAACAAGTGCGCCAGATCTGCCGACAGTAAATCTCATTTTTGAAGGTCTTGAGTACTTCTTTTAATGCGGTCCTCCACCAATGTCCTACAAACTGTACTGGCTGGTCCGTAACGTTACTGAATGAAGATGAAATGATGATAGCAGATAATGAAGATAATGAAGATGAAATGATGAAAAAACGTTGCAGACTCCTTCAGCTGGATAAGTCTAATATGAAAAGGCTATTTACCATGTCTTTTAGTTTACAAAAAGGTGAAATAGTAATGCATTAGTACCGTGCGTTTCAATTATTTTTGCCATGATTGTCCCGGTCCCCATTTTCCCAACCGAACTAACCTTGCACGTATTGCAGCTTTGTCGGAGTCAGGCCGTCCTTCGCCGCCTTAGCTTCATAGCGGTTGGTAGTTTTTCCCGTCACCGATATCTCTCCCAGGGCTCGGGTGCCCCATGCAGCGACTCCCAGGCTTTTAATAAAGAGAGAGTCGCTCCTTTGGGCCTTGATGAAGGCCAAAGCATCAGGGCGAATGTCCACACCCTGCAAAATGTTAAAATGTTACTGATTAGAAAGATGGATGCGATCGAAGGAAATGAGTCATTAAGACCAGTGCCTATTGACTATACCCGATTTGGCGCTAACAATGATTACTTTTGGAATAAAATGGCATTGACATTGAATGAAAATCTCAAGACAGGGGGAAGAAAAGTGCTGGTACGATAAGTTAGAACAATCTCTAGGGTCCCGATGCTGCAGGGCATAAGACGCAACCTTAAATTCCGATGACAGAGGGAAGAGAACAACAAAACTGATAGGACGACCAGTAAATTGTTTGCGGCTCAAGACCATTATTACCCACCTCTGGTGGCGTGATACCCGCGCCGTCCGCAGTCTCAGGCCTGGCTGAGGCAGTCGCGGGCTGCGCCGAAGCTGATGTTGAAGCAGTTACTCCTGCACCAGCGACTGCTGCAGGAGCTGCCGGCACCTGCCGGCGCTCGGCCCCGGGCGGCGGAGAACCGACCGCCGGAGGGTTGGCAGTCACTGCCGCTGGTGTTTGGAATCTCTCTCGGCGCGGAGCAGCGACGACATACCGAAGGTTTGTTGTCAATAGTTAAAACACTATTCTTTAGAATTGTGTTTTTCTATTGAAAAACAAATCTGAGTTCCCTGACAATTTGGCAAAAGCTGCCTGTAATCTTCGGTGTTGAACAGCTGAAATGAGCGAAGGAAAACGATTAACGAATGATGTGTCACGGCATTTTCAAAGACAATAGACTGCTATTCTCAATAATTGATTACCATGGCAATATTATGTCAGGCTAGCTTAACCCTCGCCGGACCTATTGGTTTTCTACATACGCGCCGGCCGAGGGGGGGGGGGGGCGGGTACGACCCCCCCCTCGCCGTTTCGCCCCTGGTGGAGCTAGCGCGTCGCGGAAAAAACGAGCGTGTGCGCCGTTACGAGACGCAGAGATTGGTACCCGATTTTAAGGTCCTAGGTCAACCGGTGACCTCTGAGGTCAGGTCAAGTGCCCCAGGGTACGGTTCAGTTTTTGGTGAATAACTTCGCAAAAAACGGTCGCAGAGCCGCGATTTTGGCAGCATCGTGTTCGCCTCGCTCAGGCGCGTCGAATGATATACTTTTTGTCCGGGTCAGGTCAACTTGGGGTGTTGACCTCAGGTCAAGGTCAGGTCAGCACCCCCAGGTCACGAAGTTGGTCGAAAGAGGTCATGTCGCATATCATTCGATTCGGCAGGTCTTCCTGAGTCCATTGGTGGCTTTCTCGACTCGCTAGCTCAATTTGATCAAGAGTTATTGACGAAAAACTAATATGACCTTGAAGACGTCATAAATGACGTCACGCAAGGTCAACATTGCA